TTCACGTAACTTGACACTGCTTTGATGTCTTGGTTGTTGAAAAGTATAATGTAATAACATCAATCCCCAAATGAGTCCAAATACAAGCAACAGTAAGCTCAATTTCTGAGACATATTTTTTCTTGAGATTGTAAAAAACATTTCTGATGAAGCAAACAGACTTGATTTAAAAGCAGTAACTGGAGATAAGCCTCCGAACAATCAAGACTTTTGAAAGAAAAAACTCTTCTAATATGGTATAATCTTCATCTTCAGCAAAGTTGCCTCCACTCTTATATTAACTCTGTAAAACAGTAACCCAGGAGACGAGTTTTGAAGAGCGAGTTTAAAAAGGCCTCTGACTTCCTCTCTCTTTCCCAAAGTAGAACAGAACTGAGCTGTCAAAAACAGAACAGGAAGTGAGAGCGGCCGCCGCCGGGCTCCCCATCGCTGCAGCTCAGGACTGAGCCCGCCCCGCTCCGCTCACGCAGCCAGAGCCAGGCTCGCTCCTCCGCCCCAGGCCCACGGGGTCGCCGCGGTGACATCCCGGGGGCAGGGTCGCAGCCGAAGGAAGAGAGGGACAAAGAGCCTTCCCGGCCACGGCAGGGGCTGCCGGCCAGTGGCCAGTCCCGAAGCCGCAGCGGCCCTCTTTCTTTACTTTTGGAATACAGTCCTCCTTCCCCTGAGTCCCGTTTTCAGGGCATAATTCAGGGCCTCCCTGTTGTGTGAACTTCTGAACCATTGTAATTTTTCCTTTTTGCAGTCCTGTTTCATGTGAGTTATTTGGGAAATTATCAAGCATTGCCTTTTTAAAAAATTACTTCCCATTTTGCTATAATTTCCAAAGTATATAAAAGTTTCCAGATTAGTATAAGGAACGCCATTATTCCCTTTTTTTAGATTTACCAATCGTTTACATTGCCCCTTTTGCTTTATCATTGTCTGTATTTATAGATTTATAGAGAGAAAAATGATATACATATACATGCATAGTTTTCTCAACTATTTGAGAGTTTCTGTGCCAGAATACATTTTCTCTTGAAAAATTCCCCTTTAGGAATTATTCCTTTAGATTTGTATATGATAATAATATAACAACTTTGTTGATGATAATTTTGGTGTAGAAAATGTAACATGAACTTTTTGAAGGAAGTTATGCTTGTTCTTTTGAATATCAGAGTATGAATTACAGCAACATGAACAGACCCAGTGAAATTATTACCACTGTACAAATCAAAGATTTTCCTTTCCACAGTCCTGGAAGATACTACTCTTTGGTGCAATTAACTTGATATGTACTGGCTTCCTGCTTATGTGGTGCAGTTCTACTAATAGTATAGGTATGTCATTGTCATTATTTAATTTTTATTTTTCTGATTTTAAATAAAGGTGTATTTTCCTTTACATAGAATATGTTCTTCTGATTGTATATAACTCAATGATTTAAATTAAAGAATACATTTTTCCTTTGTTTTTTTAAAAATTTATTTTTTAGTTTTAGGTGGACACGATATCTTTATTTTTATGTGGTGATGAGGATCAAACCTAGTGCCTCATGCATGCTAGGCGGGCACTCTACCACTGAGCCTCAACCCAACCCCAGTCCCTTTTTTTTTTTTTAATGTCTTTAAAAACAGACCTGTGAACCATAAAGTTTTGTTGACATATTATGAAATTATCTGTTTGTTTATTTGTTTTTTATGGTACCAGGGATTGAATCCAGGAGCATTTAACCACCGAGTCACATCCCCAATTCTTTTTATTTTTCATTTTGAGACAGGGTCTTGCTAAATTGCTTAGGCTGGTTTTGAACTGCAATCCTCCTGCCTTAGCCTCCCAGTTTGCTGGGATTACAGGCGTGCCCAACCATCCCCTGCTAGGACATTATCATTTTAAATGAGCTGTTGGTTTTAAAAAACACTGTTCAATCTGGACATTTGTGAAACAGAGTTCTTTTTAGGATAATATATTAAAACCTTACATAATTTATAAGTAAGATTTTGAGGTTTGTTGACATTTCCTTAAAAATGAAATTCTGTAATTTTTTCTTGTGTCTTGATCTCTGATGTTTTGATGCATCATTATTTTCTTCAGGCTATTTAAAAGTTACATTTAAAATAGTACTGAAATGACAAAAGCAGGCAGACGTGACTATGAATATTTGGTGATTGATTTGTTCCAATGTAGAAATCTGATTCTAAAATGAGCTTTTGTGCTCACCAACCTTGGTTACATATATTAATMAGATTTACTATGTAATTTCCTATTGGAAATATATATATATTTTATATATATATGAGGGTTGCTAGTGAATCCAGGCTTTTTTTTTTTTTTTTCGTAGTAGATAATCACTGATAAACAATTTTGGTGACTTTCTGTATTTTCTTAAGCATTAATTAAATAACATGTTAATTGGGTTTTTTGTTGTTTTGCAGCTTTAACTGCCTATACTTACCTGACCATTTTTGATCTTTTTAGGTAAGTTTTTTAAAACATCTCCTTAATGTTTTATAGCCAAAAATTGCTGCACTGAATATATGAAGAAGTTTTCTTTGCTTAAAGGAAATTAATTTAATAAATAAGTAAAATTATCAATGTAGACCATATGTACAAATTAATATTAAAGAATTATAACAGAAGAAAATATTTCATTGACTTACTAATTGAAAAGATAAATATCCAGGCATAAACATAAAYTTACCTTACACATTCTATGTGAAGAAAACTTTAAAATGATTCTGCTTTCAAAAAAAAAAGACCTGAAAAAATAAACCATATTCTTATAAAAATTCTCCCTAAATTAATTAAACCAGTCAAGCTATTCAAGTGATTATTGTAGTCCMACCTTGTTTATGGATTCTCTTTCTGCAGTTTCAGTTATCCATGACAACTGTAGTCCAGAAATATTAAATGGAAAATTCCAGAAATAAAAATTCATAAGTTTTAAATTGCTTATCTTTCTAGGTAGTGTGTTGAAATTTGGCACCATCCCATTATATCCAACCCATGATATGAATCATCCCTTTCTCCAGTGTGGCCATATCTCAGCAACTTAGAAACTGAGTCATTTAGGAGTTGTCTCAGTTATCAGATCAACTATCTATTGCAGTATGCCAGTGCTGTGTTCAAGTAATACTTACATAGTAGCATAACCCTGTGTTACAATGCCTTTGTCATTCACCTCACTGCATCTCATGATATAGGCATTGTATCATCTCACATCATCATTACAAGAAACAGAAGGGTACACTACAGTAAGATATTTGCCACATTCACATAAATCTTATTATAGTACATTATTATGATTCTATTTTATTATTATATCTCTTACTAGACTTAATTTATAAATTAAACTTTTAAAAAATAGATTTTTATTAGTTGTTGATGGACCTTTATTTTATTTCCTTATTTATATATGGTGCTGAGAATTGAACCCAGTACTTCACACATGCTACACAGCAAGCACTCTACCACTGAGCCACAACCCCAGACCCTATAAATTAAACTTTATTATAGGTTTGTACCTATAGAAAAATCAGAGTATATGCAGTACAGGGTTCAATGCTATTCACAGTTTGGGGCATGCACTAGGCATCAGATCAACTATCTATTGCAGTATGCCAGTGCTGTGTTCAAGTAATACTTACATAGTAGCATAACCCTGTGTTACAATGCCTTTGTCCCCTCCCCCCCCCTTTTGAAATTCTAGGTAGCAAATATTACCACAAACAGAGAACAACCTGAGAAAATATTTCTTGGAAAAAAAACTAATGTTGCTGATATACTTAAAGGGCTTACCAGTTTAGTAGAATAAAGAAAACAAAACATTTAAACACAGAGTTCACAAAAGGAAAGAACTATAACTGGCTCTTATGAAAAGTTGCTCACTATATGGTGTACTATACTCATTTATTTATATTTTTATAAATATTCATGGGAACAGTAAACAAGAAACTGATACTTACTAGGAGGAAGACTTAGTTGCAGAGGCACAAGTTTAGAATCTAAATAGCCAGGCATGGTGGCGCATACTTCTAATTCTAGCAATTTAGCAAGATTGTATGTCAGAAAAATAATTTTTTTTAGTAAGTTGCCTTTTTAATTGAATAGATAAATTTTTAAATTTTTTTTTTACTTGTAGATGGACACAATGGCTTTGTTTATTTATTTTTATGTGGTGCTGAGGATCGAACCCATTGCCTCACACATGTAAGGCAAGTGCTCTACCACTGAACTACAGCCCCAGCCCCCTTATGTCAAAAATTCTTAAAAGCTCTGGGAATGTAGCTCAGAGGTAGAAACACTCCTGGGTTCAATGCCCAATACCACTAAATAAATAAATAAAGCAAGCAAGCTAGGCATGGTGGCACATGCCTGTGATTGTAGTGGCTCGGGGGCCTGAGGCAGGAGGATTCCTGAGTTTAAAGCCAGCCTCAGTAACTTAGTGAGGTCCTAAGAAACTCAGTGAGATCCTGTCTCTAAATAAAATCTGAAAATGGGCTAGGATGTGGCTCAGTAGTTAATACCCCTAAGTTGAATCCTCAGTACAGAGATAATAAAAATAATAAAGTATATAGAAAGGACTTGGGATGAAATCCAGCAGTAGAGTACTCTGTTAAATTCTCAGTACCACAAAAAAAAAAAAAAATATATATATATATATAGGCAGTACTGGGTGTTGAACGCAGGGGCACTTGACCACTGAGCCACATCCCCAGGCTTTTTTTTTTTTTCTTTTGAGACAGGGTCTCTCTTAAGTTGCTTAGGCTTTGCTAAGTTGCTGAAGCTGGCCTTGAACTTGCAATCCTCCTGCCTCAGCCTCCTAAATTGCAGGGATTACAGGCATGTGCCAGTGCATCCAGTGAGTTTTTTTTTTCTTTAGCAGTCTGTAATCTGCCATGTAATTCAATTATCAATATATAGTGTTTGAGACAAAAAGAGGTGTGATTTAGGTTTATTTAGATCTTCACTAGTCTCAGACACACACACACACACACACACACACAAATGAATTTCTGATTTTAGAGTATTAAATGTAAATAAAAGTTATTGTATTACATAGGAATATAGACATTTTAATGGAGCACATTAATACCATGATGATGTTATTAAACTATAGAGATTATTGAGAATTGATGTATACATATAAGTAAAATTAAACATTGAATGATTTATTAATGAATAGGTATTGATTTAGTAGATATTTATAGTAATGGGAAATAAAGTAGATCAGTATTGCTATATTTCATCAAATCTTTGATCTGAACAATTATGACACATATTTATGGGACATAATTATTTTATATATCCTTAAGAAAAAGAAAAAGGCTTCCAGTTCAACTGGGTGAGGTACCATAAATTCTAAGACTTATCCTGATTTCAGGATTATTACAATTTTTAAATTGTTTCTTAAAATTACTGAATTATAGGAAAGGTGTCAGAGATTTTCATTCACTTTTTAAAGGTAAAATTTTCAAAAATCAATATTCAGAAACACACATGAATTTTTTAGGTTTCTATTATTGAGGATTTTCATCTGCATTTACCAATAGCACAAAACCATCTATCCATTCAAAATTAAACATTTTCATTATAACTTCAGTGTAAATACCAAATTCTTGTACTTAATTGAATTTGAAATGAAGTTAGCCTACTATAAAAACTTTGATGATGAATGTGAAGTACACTTGGGGAGTTAGCCAGGACCCTTTTAGTTGTAAGCATCAGATTCCCACTGAAGCTATCTCAGGAGTGTTAGGGGCATTTCATGGAATCTGAGGACAGAAGTTTTGCTGGGCTCAGAGAACAGAGCTCTGGATAATCTAACTTGTCCTTTCCATCTTTCATCTCTGGTTCTCTTTGCTGGACTCCCTTGAACTACTTTTTTCCTGTAGATCTTATTTCCCTGCTCCAAAATTCAGGAATAGAAATATAAATGTTAGCTTGACATGGTGGCGCAAGACTGTAATCCCAGCAGCTCGGAGGCTGAGGCAGAAGTATTGTGAGTTCAAAGCCAGTCTCAGCAAAAAACAAGGCGCTAAGCAACTCAGAGAGACCCTGTCTCTAAATAAAATACAAAATTGGGTTGGGGATGTGGCTCAGTGGTCGAGTGCCCCTGAGTTCAATCCAAAGTACCCCCCAAAAAAGAAAGAAAGAAAGAAATACAAATTTTGCTCCCAACTTTTACATTTGCATTTTGATTGTACAAGAAGCAGCCATATTAAGCCTAGAATGCTGCATTTCCAATTTCAGAGTTTTCTAGAGCAGGATTTTAATGGAACCTAGGTCTTTTGGAAGAGTCAGCTGTGGCCTGGGAGCAGGGTCATGTAAGAACGTACAAGTTCCCATTGTATGAGTCGGAAAAGAAATGAGAGACAGTTGATAACAGAGAAGTAAGGAATCATTATATTCCTTACAGAGATAGTCTGTTGACTATCTGCTTAATGAAACCTTTTATGTTTTCCATATGAGGATTATAAAATACTTAGACATAGATGCTTTCAAGATCCATATGATAGAAGTGTTATTATGTCTTTATATTAATCAGGTAACTAAACCTGCTTTATTAGATATACAACAGATATTGGTGACCTGAATTTCACATTGAGGAAAGTAGTTTTGTAGTGAATTTCCACTATACTTAGAAAAATAAATATAATTTTATTCCATCTAGATGTTATTAATATTTACTTTAAATTTTGATAAAAATTAAACAGAGCTTATCAATGTTAAAATGTATATGCTACAATGAAATATATTGTCGTTATTATTGTTGTATCTTTTTAAAATTGTTCTTGGCTTTGGAAACCATTTAGGGCAAATAACATTGTGTAAAGAAAACATGGGTTTAAGTTCTATTTAACTTAACAGTGAATTGGAAGTTTATTCAGTTTTTTCACATGTTAAAACTCATCATTTAGGTATACCATGTACTAGGATTATAAATTATTAGATTATAGCAATTGTCATTACATTATAAATTATTAGAATAATTTATTATTAATTTAATCTATGCCAGAATTGATCACTTTCAGCATCTTAGGAAAAAAATTATTTCTGTGTGTTCTCCTCCAGGGTTCTAATGCTAAATTTTGTCTTTTTATTTAGTTTAATAACATGTTTAATAAGTTACTGGGTAATGGTGAGGAAACCTAGCCCTGTCTATTCATTTGGGTAAGTTCAAATTATTCTATTTTCTGCTATAAAATAATAATGTACTAAAGAGCAAGCTCTTGTATTTATGGAAAATAAATGCTACCTATTTACTGATATGGTGACCAAATAGTGAAAGTAGATAGAAAAGTGTCCTCTAAGAGGATTCTAGGAAAGAAACATGAATATTTAAAATATAGATCTTATTAAAATAAAATGTTCACATTTAGATCTTTATATTTTATAAAAATATTAACATAAAATGATCACATTAAGTTTTCTAATAATTTGAGAATCTCTTATTTTAGAGAAAGTATGAAGGGAAAAATGTATGAAGGATTTTAATGTAAATGTAACTTCTAGACGTTTAAGTAAATGTGATATATATTAATATGCATTGGTGAAGATGGATTTTTATTTTATCAATCACATACTTGGAGTATTATCTGTATTTAATGATGCCCTAAAATCTAGTTCTCCAGCCTTAAAACTCCCTGGAGTTGGTAGTTCTGACAGTTTCATATGGATGTCTAATTGGTGTCTTAAACTCAGCATAGAGCTGGGTACAGTTGGGCACACCTGTATTCCCAGCAACTCGGGAGGCTGAGGCAATAGGATCGAAAGTTCAAACCCAGCCTCAGCATCTTAGTGAGCCCCTAAGCAAATCAGCAAGTCCCTGTTTCTAATAAAATATAAAAAGGGCTAAAGATGTGGCTCAGTAGTTAAGCACCCCTGGGTTGAATCCCTGGTATCAAAAAAAAAAAAAAAAAAGAAAAAAAAGAAACTTAGGATAGAATTCTCAGTTTCTTCCCAAAACATTCCTCTATAGTTTTCTCCATCTCAGTAAATGCCACCAGCACTCATTTTCTCAAACAAAAACTTTAAGATTTTTTTCTTTCTTATTACCCACATCTGTCCCTCAGCAGGTTATGTCAAGATAACCCACAAACATACCCAGAATTTACTCTCATAACCACTTCTGTGTCCACTGCTATCATCCCAGACCAAGCTACCTTCTTTTCGTGCCTTAACTAATGTCTGGCATCCTAACTGGTTCCCCATGCTTCTGAGCTTGCCTCAATAATATTTCATTCTCCATATAGCAATTAGAAGGTTTAAATCATACTCTCACTCTCCTACTTAGAAATATCTAATTCTTTTCCATCATACACAGAATTATATCTTGATTCTTTTCCCTAATTTACAAAAACCTTACATGAGCTGGCTTCTGCCTACTTCTTTTCAACTTGCCATTCTGAAGCTCTGTATACCACACTGACTTACTTTGTGTTATTTGAACACAAGTAACTCATTCTTTTGTTAGACCTTGGTACAAGCTGTGGCAAGATACTTTTTACCTGATCTTTGTAAGACTGGCTCCATCTTTTTTTTTTTTTTCTTTTGGTAGTAATGGGGATGCTGCACCTTAGCAGCCCAGTGGTGCTCTACCACTGAGCTACATCCCCAGCCCTTTTTTAAAAAAAAAATATATATATATATTTATTTATTTTTTGTTCTAATTTGTTATACCTGACAGCAGAGTGCATTTCAATTCATTGTATACAAATGGTTGTACACATTTTCATTTTCTCTGGTTCTACACAAAGTAGAGTCATACCATTCGTGTCTTTTTACATCTACCTAGGGGCTTGATGTCCATGTCATTCCACCAACTTTCCTACCCCCGTGTACCCTTCCTTCCCCTTCCTCTCCTTTGCCCTATCCAAAATTCCTCCATTTATCCCATGCTCTCCCCAACCCCCCATTGTGGATCAGCATCCACTTAGCAGAGAAAACATTCAGTGCTTTTTTTGGGGGATTGGCTTACTTTACTTAGCATGATATTCTCCAGCTCCATGCTTTACCTGCAAATGCCATGATTTTATTCTCTTTTAATGCAGAGTAATATTCCAGTGTGTGTGTGTGTGTGTGTGTGTGTGTGTGTGTGTGTGTGTATTACAGTTTCCTTATCCATTCATCTATTGAGGGGTATCTAGGTTGCTTCCACAATTTTGCTATTTTAAATTGTGCTGCTATAAACATTGATGTGGATGCATCACTGTTATGCTGTTTTTAAGTTCTTTGGGTGTAAATTGAGGAGTGGGATAGCTGGATCA